TGACCCAGGAACAAGCTCCACGTAGACAGACCTCAGCAAAAGCCTCTAGATTTGTGTTTTACTCATCAGCTCAGAAGGGTAGAATAAAAAGGCCTGAGCTAGAGGTGTTTCTGCTTGGAAATCTCCTTCTGGTTACCCACATCAGATTATTTTACTGCTTCTTTAATAACAATTTATTATGACTGATGTGCTACATCTTTTTCTTCATCAAAATAAACTGTAAAATACCTCACATAGAACATCAACCTGCTTAGCTGATATTTGAGCTGTTCACGAAGGGTTCACAGAGTCCTAATACCTGGTATGAGCTCCATACACAATGCTGTGCTGGTGTTTTCTCCCCAGAGTGCCTCCCATTCCAAGCTGGTGTTACACAGGGTTCCAAAAGGAAACCTGAGACGTGCAGCAGCGAGTCCAGCAGCGCGATGCGCGGGGTCAGCCTGACCCTCTGCTGCAGCAGGACACTGCTCAGATGCCTGACAACCCCCACTCTTACACTAACCACTGAGATTACTGTCAGAGAACCCATTATACACACCTTTTTTTTAAAAAAAAAAAATCCCTCTTCTCTGGAAACATTTTTAAAGGGTGAGTGAGCAAGTGAGATTATGTGGCTGTGAACTCCGCAGATGCCTGGAGGGAAGGAGCAGCTCTGTGGAGCACTGTGAATGTTCACATCTCCTTATCCATAGAAAACAAGCAGCTGCCAAAATACTTATATGAAGGGGACAGGTGAAAAAAAAACCACCCAAAATTAGATGGGAGCTGTTGGGTAGGTCTCCTATCATCCTTGTAGTGGAAAAAAAACTAATAAAGTGATGGATAAAACTTTTGCAGAGTATTCTAACGTTTCAAGAGTCACTTTCAGTTCTGTCACATCAAAGTGAAAAATGCTAATTTAGATCAATAAAACCCCAGTTTTTTCTCTTGTCAAACCCAGAGCTCTATATAGTTCCTCATGTTAAGGCTGAATTCCAAGAGCAGCATAACTGGTGAGAGCAGAATCATAAATTAACTCGGAGGAGGACGCAGGATGGAAGGAGTAATTTTGGAAAGTTCAGTTTACGTTCCACCCTTGAGTTGTGACACTCACCACCTGGGCTGCTGGTTAATATGGCTTTACTTGCTGTTTTCTACAGTGGTCAATGAGCTCCCTGGAGGACACACAAGTCCTGGTGGGACCATTTGGGAGCAGTCAAGGAATACTCATCACCCACCCTTGTAAAGCCATGGCCATTTTTACTGGAATTAATACTAGAAAATCGTTGATTAGTTAACTTGGGAATTACACTAAGCCACTGAAACCAATTATCATCTTACAGGAAATAAACTATCTTAGTTTTCTTGCACAGCAACATTTTAAAAAAAGGGCAAGATGATCCAAGCCTGGAACAGGGCTTCTAGAACAGGTACTTCAGGTTTCTTCAGCCCAAAAAAGCAGAGGTCTCTGAGAGCTTCCCCGAACCTGCTCCTGCCATGATACTCACAGATACCCACTGCAGTTATTGCCCTAGGTTATGCACATCAATTAAAGGCAAGGAATCAGAACCTAAATATAACTAACTGCTTGGTGTGCTGGTCTGATGCAACAAGCAGCAGATTAATCCTGAGTTGGAGAGGAAGAGCCAGAAAGCCATGTCAGCATCACAAAAATGTATCACACAGCAAACAGCCTTTTAAAAAGTAAGCAGTTACAGACTGTGAGCCTCTCTGGTCTTCTATAGAAGAACAAGACCATTCTCCATGGAGTTAGGGATGGGGGAGAACTGAAAGTGTATCTTGACAAGGCACATGAACAAGCCACGAACAACTTGTTTACAGGAACCTCTGAAGCCAAAGGCTCCACAGAACTGAAAAGGGAACCTGGAGTCAGGGTGGGTTTCATATCAGCATCCATGTATCGACACAAAGAACTTGTGTAACCATTCTAAACCACATTTTTCAAAGCTTAAGAGATTGTCTCACTAGGCTCAAGGAGCTCTTAGATCAAGATGAGACACGCAAGGTGGATTATCCTCTAATTGCTGTTCTAGAGTTCCTGCTCCTTCCTTTGAAGCACCCTGTGCTTTCCAGCGATGAGGACAGGACACTGAATTACAGGGACTTTAGCCTTGCTCCAACAGCCACCAGCACCAACATTCCAGCTCCCAGGAATGC